GCGGAAGGCAATCTGTGTCTTTCCTTATGTGGCGCCAGCTCAAATAAGGAGTAGATAACCATCTTCTCCTTTCATGATGTGACATCAGCTCGGATGAAACCCTGCAAAGGCGTGGATGAGGATCTGTGTCTTGTCAGAAAGAGTGCTAGATTGATAAAATTTGGCGAAACGGTACCTGACATGTAATTATTTCTTTGTCAAGGTGATTTTTTTGGTAAAATCACCTTTATATATATAAAGTTGAATTTACTTGAGATTGAAAATTTGAATACATAAAAAATACTAAAACTAAGAATTTATAAATGAACAACTAAAATATATTACACTTTAATACACTACAATTTCAATAAAATCAACTAAACAAATTTATGTTAAAATTTATACTCTCTAGCAAAAGTTTTACAAGGCTAAAAGCCTAACTTTGTTATCAGAAATTTCTTCATCAAGCTTTTATTTATCTTAAAAGATCTAAATGCTGCCAACATAATTAAACTGTGGGTAACTTTTCAGCTTTAAAAGTAAAAATGACACCAACATAATTTAACATGAGTAACAATTTATATAAGATTTACAAGTTAAAATAATTTATTTCAATCAGACCAACAACAATAATTCACAAGGCAGCAATGTGTAGCAACAACCATCATCAATTCAGCAAGCATCTAATCAATAGTAAAGCCAATGGGAATATGATGGCCAACAATAATTTATTTCAATCAGACCAACAACAATAATTCATAAGGAAGCAATGGGCAGCAACAACCATCATCAATTCAACATGCATCTAATCAATAGTAAAGCCAATGGGAATATGATGGCCAACAATGCCAAACATTTCTGACTTTACCAAACCCTTACAGCCTCTAATATCGAATCAAACAATACCAAACACACAAACTATTTCAAATATGCTTGTTGTAAGAAACCCTAAAAAACATAATCATAATAAACCTTTTGAAATATTAATTAAATAAACATAATAAATATAAAAATGAAGTTACCAAGGGAAGAATCAAAACATAATCATTCACAAACCAATTCAAATGTATTTACTTATGGTGAAGATATCCTACAAAAGTAAAAATAAAATTATTAATTAGTAATTCTAAATATTAATGAAATTAACATAAAAATAAATCAAATAATATATTTACCTTTAAAGGGAAGAATCATTAACTACATTAAGATAATCTTCATCCCTTTCCTCCAGATCAAAATCATACAACTAATTACGAGTTGTTACAAAAATTTCAACATTTTTAGGTAAGAGTTTAGCTCTAAACTTGTTCAAAATTCGACTCCCATATTAAAGGAAGATTCAAAAGCAACTGAAGTAATTAGAATATTCAATATATCTTTCGCCATGCGAGAAAGTACCAGGTAAGAAACACTTTGTGTTTTCCAATACTCCAAAATATCAATCTTAACATCGCCAGTACGAGGGACAATGGGCAAACTAATTTAGGAGTCAACATCTAATTGTCCACTTTTTGAAGCAGTTAAATTGGCACCAAAATTCTAAAAAACAAAGAAAAGAATATAATTAAATTATGAAAACATAATACAATAAAATAAAATAAAATATTAAATTATGAAAACTAACCTAAAATAGATTATATTTTTCAAATGATCGAGACCGATTGGAACTTGACCCATTTTTTTCTAAAGATGTGTTACTTTATATATAAGAAAGTGTATTTTTAAATAAAATATATCTAACTCAAGAAACTTATTGTAAATGATACTTACTCTTTGTTAAACATCGTCCTCTACATAAATAACATTGTACAACTCCTTTAGAAGTAATAATTTATATCGAGGATCAAGCTAACAGCTAAAGAAAGAATCATTGAGTGATCAGACCAATATTTCTCATATATTTTAAGCATAGGTCCTTCCATTATAGAAATGCCTTCACAAGAATCATTGTGAGCATCACACAACAACGTTTCAATTGCAACAACATTAGTCAAATACAAGTTAGAAGTGGGATACTTATATCCATATAACAAAGTAGTAATTTCATAAAATGGCTCAAAACAATCACAGATTGTTTGAACAATTTCCCACTCATAATCACTAATCATATCCAAGTCATTTTCCTTATTCACAAACAAGTTAATAGCTAATTTAGCATCAGGTGCCATATGAATCGTTAAGTACGTAGAATTTCATCAATTAGGAACATCCAATAAGAACTTACCACGAAAAAAATAACAGTTTTTAACTGCTAATTCAAAGGCACAAAATCAAGAATCAAACGAATAAATAAAATTAACAATTTCACGTAATTGAATAACAAAAGAATCAATTACCTTCAAACCTTTCTGAACTATCAAGTTCAAAATGTGGGCAACACACCTTATATGAAAGTACTTACCACTACATGGAAGATGAGAAATGACATTCAAATCATCTCTAAGTCGCTTAACCATTTTATCATTTGTAGAAGCATTGTCAAGAATTATGATAAAAAACTTATTCTTTCAAGATCCCACTCACATATCATCTTTTTCACAAACTTAAAACTTATTCGTCACCGTGGGGTGGAGGAAAATGGTAAAAAATCAATATTTTAGACTGAAGTTTTTGAGTTTTTATCAACATAATGTGCAGTAAAAGCAAAATAAAAATGTGAAGTGCAGACAGATCATCCATTCCATTTAAAAAAAATACGAATTGAAATAGAATGCATTGAATCAAGTAGACATTTTTATGTTTTTCATGATCTAACATGCAATACATAGTAACAATATACCTCAAAATATCCTTCACATTAATATTAAGGTAATGATACAAAACCCTAAGACTTTCATGCTCAACCCTACTCAAAGCATAACCATGACACAATATAGCCTCAGCAAACAACTCATAATATTTGTTTTGATCAAAAGAACTCAACAGAATTGTCAGTAAGATAATCCTTATAAGTTTTACATTTATCAGTATGCCTTATAGGGTTAGATGTACCAGTATGAGAATCAATTTTATACCTTTTAATTTTTTAATTCTTACACTCAGCATAAACATCACTATTGCTAGACTTGATGAAGGCATAATGGTCCAAAACAAGAGAAGTTCTTCTCCCAAACTCATATGAACATGTAACCTTCCTCTTAAAGGAAATATTGTCATCAACTGCTTGGTACAGTTTATCATTTACATCACCTTGTAAAAAAATAATATATATTAATAAATATAGAAAACATATATAGAAAACCAAAAAAAATAGAAAGTAAAAATAGGTCATTTGTCTCAATCAAAAATATTGATCATTCTAATATGTGTGTAAGTCTCCCACAAAAGAAATAAAAAACCATTAATTACAAATAACAATTAAAAACAAAAACAAGAAAATTACATATTTACCTGGAAAGTGCAACTCATAAGACTGTCAATTCATCAAACCCTAAAAAAGAAAGATTTTGAATAGACAAATGGAATCAGAAGAAGAAAAATAAGAAAGAAAAGAGTCTTGGTTAGAGAAGAGAAATATAAGAATAAGAAGAATAAGAATAAGAATAGTCTAGGTTAGAGAATAGAAGAAGAAGAAGAAGAAGAACAAAAAGAAGAAGAAGAACAAAAAGAAGAAGAAGAAGAGTCTCGATCAGAGAAGATGAATAAAAGAAGAAGAAGGGGATGAGTCTCGGTTAGAGAAGAGGAACAAAAAGAAAAAGTCTTCGTTAAAGAAGAATAACAAAAAATATATAGGTGTGTGTGTGTGTGTGTGTGTGTGTGTGTGTGTGTGTGTGTGTGTATGTATGTAATGTAAGAATACTTTTATTTATTTATATATATATATATATATTATGGGTATAATAGATGCATAAGTGTAATGTACATATTTATAATTGCTTTAATTTGATTCTTGCATGTTGTTTAAATTTATTTAAATTACATTGTCAACCCTTATCCCATATACATCTCCGTATACGAGCTAGAGATGTCATATCAATTGTATAAAACTTATATTGTTCGAAAATTGGGAAAATGTTGTTTCTTTTAAAATCAACCATTAAAACTAATATAATGAAATAACTAGTCAAATTATAATTCATCTAAACTAAAATAAATTATGATTTAATAAAATACTATTCATATATAATTTAATCAAAACAAGAAATCCATACATATTTGAATCAGAGCATCAAAATACATAAATATATACATGACAACTAGAATAACAAAAACATCGAGAAGGTGTCATATTGATTCTGGATACCTGAACTGGTCTGCAAAATATGGGATGTCGAGCCTGGCTCATTACTCAGTTAATTTTACTTTACCTACTTGTGAAGCAATCACATTCTAAGTTTTCCACTTAGTGAGGTAACATAATAAAATAAAAAATATATAAAATAAAAAATATTATATAAAAATTTATTAAAATAAATCATGCATAAAATAAAAACAAATATCAAAATTCTTACTTTAAGACGTAACAAATATGTAATGTTCTATTTCGATTCGTATCGTTTCCCACTATACTATCATGAGAATATATGGTACGCTAGTCTATGATTGAGTGTTTTATACTATGTGCAGTAAATCGCTATGTCTGTGTTGCACATTTAGTATCGATAATTGCACCATAGGTGCCCTGTGAATGTATAGGTACTGTAGAAAACAACAACACTATACCTATGAATCTCAAATACATAAATGTATCTGGTAACTATGTTGTACATAAATATACCTCAATGCGATCGATCAATAACACTTCACCTCTTGACATGCCAATTGTACCACTAATTCTCTGATAGACTACAAAATATTCTCCAAATATTTTGTATTTACTATTGTATATTTAGTTGCCTAAATTATAGCCTAATTGTTAGTATTGTATCTACTAATGACTGTGTATATATTGAACCCATGTGGAAATGAGAATGACACGGAATTACATTCTTTCATGTTATCAACTACGGTTTATCTATTCTAGCTTCCGCAACCCTATTTTTTCTTCCTCTTCTTCTCTGTCTTCTGTCCTTCCATCTGACATGGCTCCCACATCATCTTCCTCATCCTTTCACCCTGCTCTTGCTATTTCTAACATCAAGACACATGTTCCCATCACTCGTGAGATAGAGAACGTCCAATATACAAATTGGGCAGAGTTATTCAAGGTCCATTGTCGATCTCACAAGGTTTTTCATCATATTATCCCACCGAAATCTAAGGACGGGGAGGCCACAGAGCCTGCCACCCTTAGTCAGGAAGAACAAGACTTGTGCGATACGTTGGATGCTGCTGTGGTTCAGTGGATTTATTCCACAATTTTGACAGATCTCTTGAATACCGTTATTAAAGCCGATGTTTTTGTCATGACTCTATGGAATCGTCTTCGTGATTTGTTTCAGGATAATGAGAACTCTCGTGCTGTTTACTTGGAACACGAGTTCAACAACACCTACTTGAAGGATTTCTCCTCGGTTTCTGTATATTGCCAGCACCTCAAAACACTTTCCGACCAACTCAAGAATGTGGGTGCTCCGGTTTCGAACAATCGTCTTGTTCTTCGTATGGTGGGTGGTCTCACACCGGCTTACAAGGGAGTTGCTTCGGTTATTCGCCACAAAAAGGTACTACCACCTTTTTATGAAGTTCGATCGATGATGGCCTTAGAAGAAACCATCATGAAGGAGGCGACGACTGATGATGCGATGATGGTGACTAATCATGACACTGATGAGATTTCTAATCATCCTCCTCCAGGTCGTGCACGTGGGAAACACAAGAAACACCACAACAATAACAAAAACCACAAACCTACAAGTAGTGGAGTTCAGACGTCGGGTGCTGGACGTGGTGGCAACTATGGAGGTGGTCTGAACTTGGGCGGTGGTCAACAGGGTCCGATGCAACCAACATGGGCTATGCCTCCTTGGTGGAAATGGATGCAACCACCTTGGGTCATGCCTCCTTGTCCATATCCGACTCAACCTTGGGGTAGGCAAGTTGGACCACGACAGCCTGGTATTCTAGGAGCACGACCCCAGCAGGAGTAAGCCTATACTAAAGCATCCCAGTGGGCTCCGACGGATATTAAGTCCGCCATGCACACCATATCTCTCTCTCAATCAGATCCAAACTGGTATATGGATACTGGGGTGACGTCTCATATGACATCAACATAAGGTAATCTCTCATCTTATGTTAATATGAGCAATGATACTCGTGTTACTGTTGGTAGGGTTAGTCAATTCTAATTCGTGGTTACGGTCATACCTTATTATCTTCCCCGAACCCATCTTTGTCTCTCAAACATGTCTTGCATACTCCGAATCTTATTAAAAATTTACAACTGATAATAATGTTTCAGTGGTGTTTGATCCTTGTGGGTTTTCCATGCATGATTTACAGACGGGGAGACGTCTAATGAGATGTGATAGTACCAGCTCTCTCTACCCAATCACTCCCACCAGGCCGCATCCAACCTCATCTCCTACTGTCTTGCTTGCTTCAACGCTTTGGCATGACCGTTTAGGTCACCTGGGCGACTCCATTTTATCTATTCTTCAGCAAAATAAACTGATTGCTTGTAATAGTCCATCTAAGTCTACTACTTGTCAATCTTGTGTACTGGGAAAACATATTCGGTTGCCTTTTGTTCTTTCAACTTCTCAAACTTTCATGCCTTTTGATATTATTCATAATGATCTTTGGACCTCTCCGATTTTGAGTTCTTCGGGACATCGTTATAATGTGCTTTTTTTGGATGATTATTCGAAATTCTTATGGACTTTTACCATTGCTAATAAATCACAAGTATTCTCTATTTTTACTAAATTCTAATCTCATATTCGTACCCAGTTTGAACGAGATATCAAAACCATACAATGTAATAATGGGGGACAGTTTGATAATGCCTCTTTTCGGCAATTCTGTGAGTCCCATGGCATTTCTTTTCATTTCTTATGCCCTTATACCTCCTCACAAAACGGGAAGGCCGAACGAAAAATAAGATCCATTAATAATATCATGCACACACTACTGATACATGCACCAGATTCCATAATACATGCTTCTTTGGACTAATGTTTCTACTCAAACCTATTAGAAGAACAAAGTCGCGAAGATTCAAAGCATATATATTCGGTAAGTATAATGTGAATGAATCATTAAACGATTCTAATGTTGCTCCCTTTAATGTTTCAGATTCGAGGTCGAATCTTTTTGAAGAAAGGGAGGATGATACATGCATCACAAGGCTCACATCAAAGGAAGAAGTAATAACTCTTCCAAATGATCCACTCGTCCAAGTATTGGAAAAGAAGATCAGAACAAAAGCAGACTTACTGCGACTTTTTTAATGGGATCCTGATCTTATTTAGTCAAGATGTCTTCTGTAGTTAGAACCGTCTATCTCTTATCTTTCCAACGGTTCTTGAATCGCATCAATCCGATATCGAGAACTCAAGATATGGCTATTCTACTGAAGACGGTGCATGCAGAAAATCCTATACAGGATTAATACGGGATTTTGTAAATATTACGAATTTTCAATATTTTTATTGATTATTTGTAATATAACTTAATATAGGATGATGCATTATCTTTTAGGATTAGATTTATTATTTTATTAGGAATTAAGGTTGGGTTAAAAAATATTATCTTTAGTTATTATTATTTTATTAGGAATTAGAGTTAAGATATGTTTAGTTTATTATTATTTTATTCATTAGTTATTTAGGACCTTTAGAACTCATCCCCTATATAAAGGAGGCTTCATTAAACTTTGTGATTCAAGATTTCTTTGATTAATAATACAACGAGAGTTCGTTTTTGCAAGTGTTGATTGCCTTGTGCCTTCGAAGCTTCTTCTCCTTGAGATCTTTCAAGTTCTTGTGAGGGAGATTAATCTTCACACTCCAATTTGCCTTTTTATCGCGACTAGGAGAGTTGGTTAGAGCCATATTATCGTGTTTGCCTTTTCATTACGACTAGGAGGGCTCGATAGGACATTATCCATCGATTTTCCACATATCCATCCATGTCATCAATCATCTTTACCGTCCACCTTCATAAGGGAGATCTTTTGATTTCTTGGTTATCTTATTTTATTTGCAATTCCTTTATCTTTTCTTTATTTTGTTCTAATCTTATTGCCTAAAAGAAACCCTAAAGAACCCTATCTATTACCACCATCTTCCCTATTCATCCCTTATTGTTCTTCATCGAGTCTAGATCTTTTCTAGGTTTGATTCTTCAACAAGAGCAACGTTCATCAATCCGCCACTGCTTCCCTATCAATTGGTATCAGAATTGGGCCGATTCTTGGAAAGAAGCAAGCAATCTTGCTTGTTCTTGCACAAAAAACCATCAAGGTAACCCAACAGAGCTAGTCCAGAAAAGATTCATCGTTTCAGGTTCTTTTTATTTAATTTAGATTCAAATCCTTCTTGTTAGTTTGCTATTTTAAAAAAAACAAAAAAAGGCAAAAAAAAAAAACAAAAAAGCCAAAATTTCAAAAAAATGCAAATGAAGGTATTTAGGGCTGATTTTATCTAGATGTCATATTCATCCTAATATAAATCTCCATTCCGAAATTCATCCAAAGCGTAGTTCATTAGAGCCTTCAAATACATTATTCAAGTTTCATCGGCAAATTTGGTCTAGGATCTTGTCGAATTTCTTGAAACTTCTACAAGAATAATTTCGTGGTGAAAATTTCTAGATTGCAACTTCATATATTGAAGATCATTTACAAAAAAAAGCAGAATATTTGGAGATCAGGAACACCTTCGAACAAAGCGATCAAGAAAAACAGATTGTTTGAGGACTCACCGTTCAACAGAGTCTACTGGATACTACTGAAGGTATTTGGTTCTGAAATTTTACATGTGGTTTCTTGAGGCATCGAAAGACATTCAAGCATTTTTCCAGAATTTTTGGACACCGGTAACCCCTCAAAAACGTTGCTCAAGTTGATCCAACGTTTTCTAGGTTTTCTGGTTTGGTCCCTTTTTCTTTGACTCTTAGTGCTTTAGGTTCTTTTTTTTCCCTTGTTATTTTTCTTTTGCATTATCTAACACATTATCTTCCTTGTGTTAGTAGGACTAAAGAGTTTGCATACTTCTTCCTTCTTTGCATTCTCGTTCTCTTGGAGTCTAACCCTTGTTTGGCCTCTTAGAACTTTTAAGTTTTTTCTTATCGCCTTTGCTAGTAATCAAACTCCGATATGAGCTTTGGAATACTACTTGGTAAAGTGAGTTTTAAAGAGTACAAGATCGGCTTACTTGCCTCTCGTTGTGTTACTTTCTTGGAGTGACTTGTGAGGTTTCTTGCTTTGTTGAATTTTCTTCCTTTTATTTTTATTTTACTTTAAAATTTTCTTTTGAGTGTTATGATTTCAGGATGGGCGACAATAACAACAAGACACTTACGACTATCTTAGCCACACTTACCTGACTCACGACTCAAGTTGAAAGATTTGATGAAATCATGAGAGAACTACAAAAACCACAATTGGATCTACCAAACCAGAACCCAAGACCAAACAATGCTGATCTTTTGGTACCCGGGCGAGAACAACCACATTTTCAAGCACCCAAACTCTTTTCAAAACCAAAGTTTACGATCCCGTCTTTTAAAAGAGACAACGATCCGGACAGGTACATCGATTGGGAAGGAAAAGTTGATCTCATGTTCGCATACCATGACTGCCCCCAAGCTAAACAAGTTCCCTTCATCACCATGCAATTTGAAGGATATGCTCGAACTTGGTGGATGCAAACAAGGAAAAAGATCCAGAACTTCCAAATTCCAACAATCACTTCTTGGACCGACCTCAAACAAACCATGAGGAAGCGATTCCTATCGACACATTATACACGAGAAGTTAAACTACGACTACACCGACTTCGACAAGGTAGAAGTTCAGTTGAAGACTCCTATAAGGAGATGCAGTCCTTACTCAATAGGGCTAACGTAACCAAAAAAGAAGAGGTCACCGTGTCAAGATTCGTCGTCGGCTTAAACTCAAACATCACTGATATTCTTGATCTACATGGGTATGAAAACCTTGAAGATACACTAAAGAAAGCAATGACAATCGAAGCACAAATCCAAAGGAGATTCCGATTCAGATAAAATTACCGAGGTATTTCATCCTCTTACCAAGGTAATCCTTCAAATCCTTCCTCATCTTCTACTCCATCTTCTCTGAAAAAGCTAAGAGATGACAAACCTGACAAGAAGAAAGAACAACCAGCAAACAATGACACACTTCCAGTCCCTAAAGATCAAATGATAATTTGCGAGGATGTAGGGAAAGCAAAAAAAGTAAAAGTTGAGAAAGAGGCAAAAGCAAAAGAGGTCACTAGTTATAAAAGCCAAAAGAATAATGACCCATGGGAGGTGAGTGAACCTAAATGTGAGAAGAAAATAGTGACTCAAAATCTATGTGTGAGCACAAAAGAATTGAGAGAGAACCTTCTTTACAAACAACCTTTCATCCTTGTTCGCTTTAGGGAATCAATTGTTTTGATTTCTAACATTAACAAGGATTTGCCTAGTGTGTTTTCATCTCTTTTACAGAATTTTCGAGAAGTGTTAGGTGATCTACCTAATGAACTACCATTGAAAAGAGGAAAATAATGCCAAACCAATCTAATTCAAGGTTCCATCATACCTCGTCAAACATACAATCTTAAAGAAACTAAAGAGTTGGATTTGTTACAAAAAGGCTACATCCAGGAAAGCCTTACTCGTGACGCCATCTTAATGACGAAACATTATTTGAACAACACTACATGCTTTATAGTTCATGCACAGAAAATCCATGTAAATGGTGAAATAGTAAAAGCAACACGAGACTGGCCCACACCATCTTCCATAGCCAAGAGTTGTCGAATAGTATTAGGTGACCCTCCTGACGGGTTACCACCTGAAAGCCCTAATCACTATGCCATATCAATGAAGAGTCACGATTTACGGGAGTCCAAAGGTAAGTATTTTATTACTCATTTTAATGACATTGTAATATACTTCTTCTCCTTCTTACAAG